TTTTTTTTTTTTTTTTTTTTGGTACTAGAGATCGAACTCGGGCCCTTGTGCTTGCGAGTCAGGCACCGGGACCACTGAGCTAAATCCCCCACCCATATATCTTCTTTTTCATCATCATTTGCTCTTTTTTCCCTCCCCTGGTACCAGGGATTGAACTCAGGAACTTGCGCTTGCAAGGCAGGCAAAGCACCACTGAGCTAAATCCCTGGCCTGTCATCATTTGCTCTTTATAAAAAATTTGAACTATTTCTTCATAATTGGGTTATAGTAAAGTTTTATAATTAAACTTGGATTGAAATTTTTATTGGTAGTACATATGAGCATATTTTCTCCAAATATGTGATGTGTCATAATATATTTTAAAGGCATCTTTTGGAGAACAGAAAGTTTTTCTCCAGAATATTCTTGATCTGCATTTGGTTGAATCTGCAGATGAAGATTTGGAGAAAGAAAAAGGGCAGCTGTAATTTTTATATTAGTGATATAGGCTAGGTCATAGTTAACCTTTATCCATGTAGCTCTCCTGGTGTTTATTGAAGCAACATCTGAACTACCATATTCTTTTTGTGCATTGGTCATATATGCGTGGTTCTGTTTCTATATTCTTTATTCTTTTCTTTGACCTTTATAAATATCTTTATATCACTACATCTTGTATCCAGTGTCTTGATTATTCCAGATGTGTAGTAAGTTTGGGTATTAGGTAGTGTAAGTGCTCCTAATTTGCCCCCCAACCCTGGTCTGTTAAGCTCTTTGTACCTCTGTAGAACATTTACTGGTTTCTATTTTTAAAAGCCTTCTGGGATCCAGGAGTGGTCCCTTTTGCCTATAATCCCAACGCTGTGCAGTGTCAAGTTGGGTAACTTAGCACCTAGTGTGACCCTGTGTTAAGAAAAAATAAAAAGGGCTCAGGATAAAGCTCAGTATATAGGCCCTGAGGTTCAGTCCCCTGTGTATGTTGGTGAGGGGTGCAGGGCCCTCCTATGATTTTGAAAGGGATTGCATTGAATCTGCAGATTAGTTTGGAAAACAAAAGACCCTTGAAAGGCTACATGTGTATCCTAGTGATGTGATAACTGGTTCTGTTACATTGCTTTGACTATCTGGAAACTGCCTTAATGAATAAGAAAGTACTACTTATCTTTGGGAAAAGGCATAGTATGAATTTTGAATCAATACTATGAACCAAATAAATGACAAGACTGATTTTTACTATAATTTAATCTTTTTAAAAATACGGAGTAATTTAAAGGTTCAGGGACTTTTTCCTGGTTTGGCAAATCAGTGAGTCTTCAAGGGCCTTCTGGAAGCCACAATATGACTGCTCATGGGAGGAAGAGGGAGGACAGCCTCGACTTGCTAAACCATGAATCATGGGAGTGCAGTGCCTCAAAAAATTCAACATTTAAAAAATACATAATTTAAAAGTTTTAGAAGACCCAATGTAGTAAGAATTTTTTTTAAGTAAGGAGGGAGCCATCTAATATTTCTATAAAAACATTTTGTTAGAAGACAGTTACGTATAAAAGTAGAATTTCTTTCATCTGGTTCTCAAGGAAATATGCTTACATCATTTTGGTGTCATTTAGCAGTGGCTTTGAGAAATATAAGGCCTGTTATCCTGTGTCAGGGTTAGTTAATTCAGTATTCTTTTTTTTTGGTACCAGGGATTGAACTCGGGTCCTTGCGCTTGCAAGGCTGGCCACCGAACCCCTGAGCTAAATCCCCGGCCCTTAGTATTCTTTTAATAACTGTCTTATGGACACTTTGAAACTGTTTGAAAGGTGTGTGAAAAGTTATAAGTTTAATTCTTCCAGGATTGGTTTTGTATTTTAAATATAATAATTACTCTTTCTCTCTGTCTCTGTCAGGGCTGCTATACCAAAAATAGACTAAGGGACTTATAAAACATTTTACCAGGGTAGGAACAGATAGGCACATTCACACACATCTGGTGGAGGGTGGGTGTCCATCAGTCCAGCCATTTTTAATGGCAATTTGACATATCTGCCAAAATTGCAATTGCACCAAAAGCTGAGAATCACCAACTTATTATGAACTTAGCAGAACTATACACATCCATGGGAAGTTAAAAATTCACTGGAATATTGTATAAAAGAACACCTAAGACTGACACTCCAAATATTTATATAGTAAATTATGATGTAACTGTACTACAAACTGAAGGTCCTCTCCCAAGTATGTTGTTATATAAAAGGTTAGGAAATATGTCTATGATATTCTACCATCTATGTAAAAAATAATTATAGTAGTTTTATATAAGCAGAAGGAAAATCTAGAAGGACACATTGGTCATGTGAAGGAGAGCAACATGTGAAAAAGAGTTTTTTTCCCCTTTATACATTTTTATATATTTTTGAACCTTACAAAAATTTTATCTGTTCAAAAGAAAAATGTAGCACAATTGGCTTGTTTTTTGTGAGGTTTTTTTATATTCAGATTTTTTGTTTTTTTGAGACAGGGTCTCACTATGTAGTTGAGACTGACCTAGAACTCACGATGTAGCCTAAGCTGGCCTCGAACTCACAGCAATCCTCCTGCCTCAGCCTCCAGAGTGCTGGGATTATAGGTGTGCGCCACCACGCCCGGCTAGTATCAAACTTTCTTTACCCTCTCTTTAAATACCTCTAACAGTTTTCTTACTGTTTTTGTTACTTTCCTTATCACTGGGGCAAAATACTTGACACCTGCAATTTAAAAGATGTTTATTTTGGCTCATGTTTTAGAAGTTTCGGTCTGTGTTCAACAAGTTCTAACAGAAATCCTGGCCAGGGATATTTAGCTCAGTGGTTCTGTTAACTGCCACTCAAGCGCAAAGTCCCAAGATCGATCCCCAGTACCAAAAAGACTCACCAAAAAGTTCAGGTTCAAAGACTCCTCTGAAATGCAAGGCAAACTTTCAGTGACTCCCTGTAAAAATTAAAAGAAAATTAAACACTTCAATAATATGGAACAGTATAAACATTCCCATACCACAAGGAAGGAATGGGACCAACGCAATACCAAAACCCCGCAGGGCAAATGTTAAATACTCTGTCTCTCTTCCAGCAAGTTGTGAGACATGTAGCTTGGGCAACCTGCTGCTGCAGCACTAACTGACAGCCCAATGGCCTTTCTTTTGGGCTGCCTCTTGCTTGCTTCGGCAGTACATATGCTAATATTGGGCTGTCTCCCCTTACTGCCTTTGGCCCTCCTTAGTAGACCTTCCATGGTGCTGGCTTCTTCAACTTCCAGCGGTCTCCACTACAATTTGAGCCTTAACTCTCACAGCTTTGCTCTTTGCCCTCTTGGGCACAGCTCCTCCAAAATCTGGATGGAAGCCTCCCCAACCTGACAGCGATGGATTCCTCAGCCAGGGCGCCATAACAAAGTACTAAGGACTGGGGACCTAACAGCAATTTTATTTCTTCACTGCTCTGAAAACCTGATGCCCCGGAACAAGATATCAGAATTGGTTTTTCTGAGGCCTCTTTTCTCATAGAGGGCCTTTTCTTTGTGTCCTCACATGGTCTTTCCTCTTTGCATATCTGTATCCTAACTGCATCTTCTCATTGAAGACTGATTTTTAGGGTGAGGACGCAACCACCTGACCTTTCCTAACTTAGGCAACTCCTTAAATGCCTTAACTGCAAATGCAACCACATTTTAATGTCCTGGGGTTAAGACTTCAGCATATGAACTTGTGGGCCAACATTCTGTACATAGCCCTCCTCGCTTAGCTCTGTGTTCTACCTTCTCCCCTCCCCCAAGGATCGAAAAATGTATGAAGCTCTTCAGCAGTCCCTCAGCCAGTGACATCTCCAGCTGCCAGCATGGTGAATCCAGCACAGTAAGCCAGTCAAGTGGTCTAGGTGCTCTGAGATGCCTGCCCTCAGCCCAACATAGATATGGTCTCTCTCATGTAAGCATTTTATTTTCATATTAATGAGGACAAACTGGAAGCTGAAGATTCTTCAATACAGCAGACCTTGTGGGAAAACTCCCCACATCTTTAAGGGAAAAAAAAATTAAACTGGTGAAATAAAATTTTACTCAAAATTTTTAATTTGAAACAACTTAAGGCCTTGGGCTTACTACTTTCAGAAGCCTTCAGTGTGCGTTTCTGTAATGTGTCCTCACAACGGAGTCACACTATGCATGTTCATTAGAGTTGTCATGAAGCAATGCCTTGTTCATCTCTAATCCTCTAATAAGTACAAATAATGATCATGTTTCTAAAATTCTTTAATGTAATTTTAACTACTTCAATGGTTTGTAGTTTAGACATCCTCTTAGATTCTGGCCTATTCAAAGCTTTGTTTGGGGTTTACTATTACAGGGAGACTTACCAAACTATACTTGGACTTTCCTTAAGCTATGACCGTCGAGTCATCCCAGCATAAATGGACACTTGATCTACATTGGGTTTCTGCTCTGCATTCTCACTTGGTTATTTTCCTGCGTGCTCTGACTCAGTCTTTGGTGCCTCACATAATATCCTTGCTCCTTCAAAATTGGAACACGGTTTATTAAAAGTCTCTTTGCTGCTTACCTTGATATACTTTGTTACCTGTGATTATTAGTCTTCAACCTGCTATCCGTCCCAAACCATTTCTTCACCTCCATCTACTCAAAAGGATTTACACTCTTAAAGTCTACTAATCAGTCCATAGCATAAGACTGCTGGCTGTGCCCACCTCTGTCTCTTTACTGGACTCTTGATTGGACAATTCATACAGCATCCTTACACTCACTTTATTGATGTAACCCTGACCTTTCAACCATTACTGCTTCTAACCACTTTTTCATGACAACTGTTTCAGGGCCAGTATTTTCAGACTTCTTTGTCACTGGAGCTCCAGTGTGCATGCAGGCCAAAGATTACCCTCAATACTGTCAACCTATGGTCATTGTTACTCCCTGTAACTTTACTTGTATCTTAGACTGCAAGTCTAGAGGTTGAATTCTCCAACCCTGGTCCCTCTAAACCAGTCTCAGTCTGCCTTCAATAGACCTGCTGCACACGACAAAAATTCTGGCCTCTGATATCCAGAAAGACCATCACTTTCTTAAGTCCCTCATCTCAACCCCTGGATAACCACTGCTAGTTATACTCCAATTGCTCATTGCCAATACATCACTTTATCAGTCAGTCACAGACACTTGTTTTTTCCTTTACTCACAGATACAGTACTTTGAAGAAAAGAAGACCCAAGGCATATACCAACCACAACTTTCCTCTTTTAACAGGAATGGCATTTGCCATTTGATATTTCTTATGAGGGCCCCCAGCACTTTTCATAACTGATACACATAAACTTTTCTGTCTTGATCTCACTACTTGTCTTACTGCCCTGAGTATGTTCTTTGCAGGAATCAAGTCCTGTGCCTTCCTTCCAACTGGACAGGTATTTGTACCATAGCTTTTCTAGCCCCTGATACACAAATTGTTCCCAACAACTAGTCTTTCCCTCCCTTTTCTGCCTTCATTTGACCAAAAAACAGTGATTACTCTAGTTCCTGTCTTGGCATAGGAATTGCTACAGAGATAAGAACAAGAGCTACAGGACTACACTCTCCACAGCCTCTCCCTCAAGCTTGCTGAGGGCCTATCCCCATCTCTACTGCCATAAACACAGAGGTCTTGATGCACTAAATAAAGCACAGGGAGGTCTGCATGGCTTTGGAAGAACAACACTGATAGTATATCCACCAGTCAAATGTTGGACAAGCTGTAGATCAGGCATCCCAATTAAGGGAATAAGGGCCAATCAGTTCCTCTCTTAAAATCATACTTGGGGGTGGCTTTCCTGGCTGTCACTCTTGGCCAGGAGACAATTCAGGCATAATCAACCAGTGAAGACCCCAACTATGCCTCTTCTAACTCAACCCTCAAAGTGCTGGCTCAGCCTTTCCATCCTCTAGCCACTTCCAATTCCCCAGGCTCCACTGTAGGTCATTAAATCCTACATAAGAGTCACACAGACTCCATAATCTGTAGGTAGGAATAAAGACTGCTCTCAGATTGAGGCAGCTTCAGAAGAAGCTCTCAGTATCCCATAAAGATTTTGGGGATTAGGTGTTTTGGGAAAGTTGATGCAGGAGATGGCTAAGGAAATGTCTGGAAACAGAAAGGAGGCCCCTGCCTGCCTTGGAACCTACTTTCTGGGCTACCTCTGAGGCACAGCCAAGTACAAAGCTCTGGAAAGAAGGGCAGGCCCACTTTGGATGCCTTTTGGGTCTAGATCTCCCTACTGAGTTAAACAGTCACCTAACGAACAGTAGGACTGGGATCCTCAGGTCAAATGCAATGGGAAAGTGTAACCAGATAACTTGGCTTCTGTGCAAGCAGTCTGGGCATATACCTGGTGATCTGCAGTGCTTGGTCAACCCCTGCTCTGATAGGCATGCCATTAACTCAGTTGATTTGACCCTCCGTGGGCTTTGGAAGCCATGCCAATTCCCTCAAGAGCCATAAAGGATTAAAAACTCCCCAATGAAGGGACCCAGCCAGGCTGCTCATTGGCAGGAGTCATAGCTCAAACTAAATGCTCAATCCCACCCCAAACCCTCAGGTTTAAAGTCCTCAGTACCAAGCCCTCTAATGCTGTGAGCTTTTCTCACTGGCCCACTTCCACCCTGTGGACTGTACTGTTTTTCTTCCAAATCTTTTACTGCTGCTTTTGGGTGTTGTGCTCAATTCTTTGGCTAGGACAGTGGTGGCAAACCTATGGCCCAAGTGCTGCAATGGGCTATTTATCATTGAAAGTTCTAAAAAGTTCTCCATCGCTGGCTTAGGACATCAAGAATTTGTACAAGACCTCCAATCCTATAACATCCCTATTCACCCTTGCTCCCATCTCATGCAAGGGGAACCTAGGGTTGCTTCTGCTTAACACAGACTTATTATGTCACTTTCAGCTCACCATCCCTTGGTGTCCTTAGTTCTATCAGTCTAATTGCACACGGATTTAAATCTGATACCACCTATCTTTGGCATCTGCCTTCCCTCTCTTTAAAACACCCAAGTTCTTTCACGCATCAGCCCTTGTTTCCCAAAATGTTCCTGCCACCCACTGGCCATCCTTCACTAAAATACCATGTTCTGAGAAGATCTTTAGGACCCTTCTGCTTCTGCTTGTGCCTCAAGTTATGCAGACTCGTGTCACTCATGTTACACTGGGGGTCGAAGCCTGAGGTGGAGATCCTCAGCAGCAGGGCCCCTGTTCTCTTTTGGGTCCCAAACATGACAAGGAACATGAGAAGGAAGTAACATTGGGTGGCGTAATGGCGCAGAGCAGTTAGCATTGGAGAGAGCTGATGAAACCGGGGCTTCTCAGCCATCGTCAAGAAGCTGGCGAGGCTTTCTATAAAGAGCACTAAGGAGTGAATAGTTTGAGCAGCAGTGATCAGCTGCTATGGTTCAGGACAGCTGTGATCTTCCCTCTTGCTGTGTGCATGGAGCTGACAACACTCCCACACCTTGTCCCCTGGCAACAGGGACCAGCAGGACCGTGGCCCCTGAGTGGCACTGATCTGAGCTTGCCTGGGCTGATCTCCAAGGCATCTGCAGTGGGGAGGCCCTTTGTGGATGCAGACAGAAGAGCCATCTGCAGTCACACAGCCCATGAAGTTCTGACTTGGGTCCCCAGCACTGCTCCAATGTGGTCCTTGCTGGAACATGGGACCAGGTCTAAAGTGAGGCTCCCGATTCTCTTCCTGGGCAAGGAGTGGAGTGTGGGATTGAGGCACTCAAGAGATTCACATGCTCACCTATCTTTCTGCTTGGCACAAGCAGCATTGGCTGGAAGTACCTTCGCCTCTGCATGATCTAAATTGGGCTTTACACAGCTGTTGTGCTTGGAAAGAATGTTTCTGAGCTGACTCTGAAAATCCTTGTTTGTCCTGTTCTGACTTGTAATTCAGCCCCAAGAACTTCTGGGAAGATGGAAGAGTGGTGAGCAGCAGAGAAAGAGCCTCTCTGAGATTTGATGTCCTAACATTGAAATATGGGGGCATGAAGAGAAGGAAGGAAGTGGGTTCCTGGGACCTAGAAGGAGCTGAAGTGAGAAAATGAAGTCCACGGGAGAGTGGAAAGAGACTTCAATGAAAAAAAGGAAGGTACCAGGTGGTGCTTTGTCCCAGAGTCCAGACTCATGGTGTGGGAAGGGCAGTTTGAACCTGCAGGTGCATGGTGATTACTGGCGGCTCCAGAGGCCTCCGTGGAGAAATGCACCTGTGGAACTAAGCAGTGGACACAGCTGAACACAGTGGCTGGTGAGTTATTCAGGTTCAGAGATCTCACTGAGGAGGGGGCGACTGGCCAGCAGCCTTCTTGGAGATAGGTCAACTGAGCTCAGAACTCAGAACAGCTATGGGCCAGCTCCGTCTCGTGGCTCCTGGTGTCATGGTGAGGGTGCCAATCTCACATTGGCAGGTCAGAGAGTGGAGTTCAAATCAGCAGGAGGCACCTGTATGGTTCTGGGCTCAATAGAGCCAGTTCCAGCCTCATAGTCAGAAAGAAGTGTGCACTGCAGTGGAACTGAAGGAGATCTACAGCTTGCTTTCTGGGATGAAACAGTTTACACCTGCACTCTGTATCCCTGTTGTCCACCAGTGACAGCAGAGATGCCTTGAATTGGACTTTATCTTTTTTTTTCCTTTTTTCCTCTTATCTGCCTTTTGTTCTAGTTCTGTTCTGGTTTTTCTTGATTGCCTGCTCTTGTTTTTACATGAGTGTGAACACGGTCTCAGTGTTTTCTTGTGGTCTATTGTTTTTGTTTTCCCTTCTCTTTCCCCCATCTTCACCAGTTTCCCAAAGTTTGTATGACCCTCTTTTGTCCTCCAGCTTTGCTTCTAAACTCTTCTATTTTTCTATTTTCCTTCAAAACCTCTTTTAAATCTTTTCTCCTTAGAGTAAAATTGTCATATTGAGGGCTTATTTATTGCATAATTTTCTGATTTGTTTTAGATTTTGTCATATAACTACAATACTAGCTCATATGGCTAAAGATGACAAATAAATAGTTATCACAGTTTAGCTGGGTGCGGTGGCTCACGCCTGTAATCCCAGTACTTGGGAGGCTAAGGCAGGAGGATTACTGTGAGTTTGAGACCAGCATGGGCTACATAGTGAGTTCCAGGTCAGTCTCAGACTACATAGTGAGAGCCTGTCTCAAAAAACCCAAAAGAAAAAAAGTTACCACAGTTTATCATTTTCTAGGCTGTGTTTGATGCTGTAGTTACTGCTGATTGTACTACTTTAGCCAAGACATAACTGGGCTAATCCATTGTTCCTCCTGATATACCGAGACTGAGATTGCCTAAGGATTTTGCAATAGGTTCAAAACTCAAAGCCAGCTACACCTGGAAGACACCTCTGAGGAGTAGTCATTTCCTAAGGGTTCTGAATATTGGCAATAAAGTTACTCTCCATAAGCAAACTATAAGCATCAACCCAGGAATTAAACTGAAAAAAGAAAATGAGAAGACACTTGAACAAGGTGCAAACCTCCCCCACACTCCCTACAAACTTTCAGCTCACAAATGCAGGAGGCAGTGAGGTGGAACAATCTGAAAGCCATCCAACTAGACTCTCTGAAATGGTAACAACGGAAGTAACACACAAGATGAATGAAGCTGTAGAAAAAGCAGAAATAATTTCTCAGCTAACTACAGAGATAGTGACCAGAATGAAAAATATACTTAGTGACTCTAGAGGATATACAGATTTTTTTTTTTTTTAAAAAGAGAGACGCTCAAGAAAATGATGGAAACCATGAACACCCAGTGTAGGAGAAAAATGGAATCCATACAACAGATTCAAATAGATATCCAGATTTTAAAAATGCCATTGAAAGTATATGTAGCAGAATGAGCCAATGCAAGGACAGAGTACCAGATATAGAAGACAGGATTGTGGTTAGCAATCAGGAAAAGAAAGATTTCTTAAAAAGACCAAGGGACCATGAGAAATCAATCCAGCAGCTGCTAAATGATGCAAAGAAGAATAACGTAAGATTGATCAGTCAATGACAAAGCAGGTGATAGCATAAATAACAAAAAACATGTTCACAGAAGTAATGGCAGGAAGCATTCCAAATAGGAAAAAAGAATTTGACATACAGATAAGTGAGGCATAGAGAACTCCAATTAGCCATGATTTAAAAAAAAAAAAAAAAAATCTTCCCCAAGGAATGTAATAGTCAAGATTCCAGAAATTTAACTCAAGAACAGAATATTAAAAGCTGTTAGAGAAAACAAACAAACCACCTATAAAGGAAAGCCCCTCAAAATCACAGCAGACTTCTCAACACAGACACTCAAGTCAAGGAAAGCTTGGAATGAAGTATTTCAAGACCTAAAGGAAAACATCCTCCAACCCAGAATGATGTACCCCACAAAACTATCTTTCAAAATTGATGGAAAATTCAAATACTTCCATGACAGAGAACTCTTGGAGAAATTCATGAGCACCAAACCAGCACTCCAAAGTGCTCTGAAGGATAATCTACAAAGAGATAACAAGGAATACAATTCCATGAATCCCAACAGAATGAATCCACTAGGCAAGACAAGAAATTAAAGAGGACAGAAGGAAGCTAAAGGCATAAAAATAAAATGACAGAGATAAGACAATACATATCAGCTATAACCATCGTTAATGATCTCAATTCACCAGCCAACAGAAACAGACTGGCAGAACCCAGAAAAGTAGGGGTAGCTGTTATATTTGCAGACAAAGTGGATTTCAAGCAAGGACTAATTAAGTGATTCAGCTCCTGCCTTGGCAGAAGAGTGCAGGAAGAGCTGGCATGGATGGCTGCAGAACAGTTCTGCCCTTACAGGAACCCTCACAGCTGACAGTGACAAAACAATCTCTCCCAAGGAAAACTTTGGGTATTAGAAAATTAGAAAGAGGGCTTCAGGCAGGGGATTTAGCTCAGTGGTTCTGCCGCCTGCCTCACAAGTGCAGGGTCCTCCTGAGTTCGATCCCTGGTACCAAATAAAATAGAGGGCTCTGAATTTGACCAAAATGTCATTGTAAATGTTTTTTATACATCATGGACTTAGAATTTAGACCTGGATTTGAATTTTGGTTCTGTGATTTTGCACAAGGTACCTATACTTTCCCTTCTATTTTTTTTCCTCATACCACAAGGAGGCTGATACCCATGTGAGCTCTCAGCAGTCCACAGAGAGACCAACACAGTGCCTGGCACAGGACATGATCCTACCAACATAGTCAACCCAGGCAGAAGTTATAGGTGGAGGCACATTTATGGACCTTGTCCTTTAGTCCTCAAATAGTTGGCTTCTTAACATGTAATTTGTGAGGTAGGACAAGTTCTTTCTACACTCCTGCTCATGTTAATTTACTCAGCAAGGGAAACTTGAAGGGAGTCAGGCCATGAACAGTTTGGAGCGGAATCACTGCCTCTGGCACTGCAGCCCTGAGCCTGAGCTGATTACAGAGAAGAGCTAAGGCCTCTGTCTGGAATGTGGAAGACAGGGAGTGGGGGACCCAGCCCTCATCACAGAAGAAATTCCTTCTAATATCTGCTCTGCATCTCCCCCCATTCCCAACAGGACACCCCCCTTCATACATGACCATTCTCTGTGGACACGTAATTACAGGGTGGCATCATGGGTACTGCCCAGGGCCTTGATTTAGGACTGGGAGGATCTTTATCAGGTGCTGGTTCTGCCACCACTGGGAGCTGAAGTCATCGGAGGCAAATTACTGGCACCATGGATCCTCATTTTCCTCTTTTCTGTGAAGAGATCATCTCCTTTATAGTTTGTGCTTTAAGAGCTGACACTGCTGAACCTGATGCGTTCCACACGTGATGATACTCCTTGCTGAGCCTTGCAGGGGTCATAGAGTGGGAGGGTTTTGTGGCAAGGTACCTCAGGGAGAGCCTCCTGCCTGCACAGTGGCCTCCACCAGAGTGGGACTCTAGGTCAGTGAGCGATGGACTGGCCCTCATACCCTCAAAAGAGGAAAGGGTTCCTTTATTTTCCTTCTGCCCTTCTCTCTGCCTCACCCCCAGTCTTGGTGGAAACCAAAACTGCAGCTGACATCGGGCAGAGCTTGTGTGAGTCCTGTGGTACAGAACTGGGCAAGGAGACACCAAGAGTGGAGGAAGGTGCTCCACACACACTGCGGTGCCAGAAGCCTGGTAGAAACACGCAAGGGCTTGGTGGATTCTCTTGCTTTATTTATGCGTGACAAGAATTTGCAAGTTTCTTTTACAGAACTGAAACACGACAATTCTACTGGAATGAGAGGTTGTTGAACTCTCAGTCATCAAAGTGAGGAGAAGGGGGACAGGCTTCCAGACTCAGAGGTCATGTACTGCACAGAAATACCCTTAAATGCCTGGTGCCTTCTGGGGTTCCGGAGACTCCTTGGAGGGCAAAATTGTAAAGCAGTGTTCTCAGTGGTGCCAAGCAGACACAACTGTAAAGGTGGCATGCCATGCTGTTGAGAACAGAGCACCCACTTCCAAGCATGGTGAGTGCCCAGCCAGTAGGAAAAGCTCACACTTCTCATAGCCAAGAGACATGACTGTTCACGATGGAAAAATGTCACCCCATTATGCTACAAGAAATCTCAGCTGCCAACCAAGAGGCCATGGGAGACTCAAGCCATGCACTGCTGAAGTTGAAAGGTTCCCGTTCTTGAGGGACCCATAACCTGAAGGCCTGTTAGAACAGTATTGGGACAACCTACTACAGTGAAGGGCTGGCTCTAGAGGCCACCCTAGACTGACTGGTGTACAGTCGTTTCCAAGCCTGCACTGAGTGCTGTTCCACTCTTCCAGGTTTTCAAAAAGCATGCACTGACTGATTCCTTTTCCTGGGCTCCATGTGCAGAGCTGTGCTCCTAGGAACTGGAAATCATGCTGCCCTTTCCAAAGCTGCTTCTGATTTCTGAGACCATCTTTCTTCCTGGAAAGTGCTCTGTGTAGGAGACTATGCAGCCACAGCTCCAAGCCCCCAGGGCCCCTTTACCCTTTCTGAGGCCTGGAGTGGCCAGTCACATGTGCCTATGGGAATGCAAGACCCATCAACACAGGAGGACAGGAGACACCCTCCCAAGCACACTTGTCTTCTAGGTTCACCTGTCTTTTCTCCTTTCCTCTGCTCTGTTGTCATCTAACTAGAAAGTACCTGCTCATTGGTCATGCATTATCTACCTGCTCCAAATCCTGCCGCTCTTCCCAATAGGTACCCTGGGCTGTCCTTATCCACTGGATGGATACTCAGTGGATTTTAGGGCTCATTAATGCTCCAGGGTTTGAGGGTGGATTTGTGGTATCTTCATGCAATGCCTGATAAGGCTACACCATGAACCATGAGTGAATACATTTTGCTATGAATTTAAACAGGGATGGTTCATATTAGGATTTCAAATTATCTCACACTGGTGCACTCAGAGCTCTTTCCAGATGTGCCAGAACATGAAAGGTGGTCAGCAAGGCTGGAGACGAGGACATATATCAAGAACAAGTTTCTCAACCTCTCCTGTTCCAGGATCAGGCTCATGAGATGCCATATGGAGCACACTCATTTTAATTTAGTGTGTAACCTTGGGCCAGTCACTTATCCCCATCTTATCCTCAGTATCTCATCAACAAAGTGAAGATATTAGTAGTACTGCATCATAGAAGTGTGCAACCTGAAAGATAACACATGTAAAATATTTGGTTCTGGGCTGGTGAAAAGGATTCTCTGTATATATCCAGGCTTTTGGTATTACATTTATCTAAGGTCACACAAACACCTTCTGTCTTGGACTGTTTTAGATAAAGCTTAAAAGGTCAAGGACTCAGTGCTGGCCAGGGTGTATTTATCAAGCAATCACTCCCAGTATAGCATGGACCCTGATGGATGTGAGGGAATAGTGATAGTAAAGGTCCTAGGCGGAAGACTACCTGTTCACAAAACAGGAAGATTAGAGCCTGGAGAGTGGTCCTTGGTCCGAAACCAAAGCACCTGATCTACTGGGCAGTGGAGGTGGATCAACAGGCTATGTTAACATGAGGCCTTGATCCTCGCTGACCAGAGCACAAGTAAATCAGAGGTAGGTCTGCTGTGATACCACAGTGTAATCTTTAGTTATTCCAGCAGGGCTCCAGGACCATCTTTCTACTGCTTTAAAGTTGACAGGTGGGAGCAAGCCTAGTGAGACTTGTAAGGAAGCCGAGACCTCCATGCAGGCAAGAAGTCATCAGGGAACAGGAAACAGCACTTTGGGGAGGATCAGAAATGTCCTCTGTACCCAGCAGAGAATGGATGAGACAGGCTGACAAAGGAAATGTGGGAGCGGTCTCCAGGGCTGCAGCAGAGGTGGCCACAGGTAGAGTTCTACCCGCAGTGAAGCTGAGGACACGGGGAGATTCCTCACACCATAGTTCAATCCAGTCCCCCGTGCATGGCTGTGTCCACATTCTGTGGTAGGACTGAGGAAATGTGCACTATGGAGCTGGTAGTATCGCTGCTCTAAACTCAAATCGTTGCTTCTTAAGCAAAGCCTCCAGCGACCTGGGGAGTTTCCCCAGCAGGAGGGTGAGAAAGGAAAAACAGAGCGCCTTGGGGGTGAAGCGAAGTCTGCAGAGCAGGGCTGCCATCCCAGGTGGGTCTGCATTTCACACTCAGTTGTCTGGCTGCTGCTGAGGCTTTGCAGAGCTGCAGCATTGCTGACAGATTTTAAATATTGCTTCCCCTTTCACACACTGATGGAATCAACACATAACACTGGCTATCTGTGAGCAGCCCCCTCTGATGTGTCCGTCGCCACAGCTGTTCTCCATGAAGAGCACTGAAGTCTGTCCACGGATCCGTCTAATGCCAGTCATTGCGACAGAAGGAGGAAGCCTAGTGATGGATGGGATTGGGCTCCGCATGCGCTTTATTCAGGAGGCAGGCAGTTCAAGACACAGCAGCTTCTGACTTAAGTCACATGGACGGCAGTTAAAAGTGAACATTCATAGTTCAATTACAGTCAACATTATTTCAATCTCAAGCTTCTGTCCAAAAGTAACTTGGATCTTTTTAAAAACTATTTCTGGAATGAAAGTTTTAAGGTCCACCAGTAATCATACGATGTAAACACAATGAAATAACCAAAATAAGTACTAATGTTCTGTGATTAGTAGGTCAGTTTATTAGCTGTTTTAGTAAAATAAAAATTTGCTTACACAGTGACACACATGGGTGGAGACTCCCCTAGGGATGAGCAATCAACCAGTGAGACAAGCTGAGTACAGAGAGGTGAGTGACTCCACAGAGATCCTAGTCCCAGGATTGAGGCTTGAGGCAGCTAAGCACCACTGACCTGAAGCTGCCTCTTGCAAAATACAGCAGGAGGTTATTTCTGAGCTTCGCAGGGGAATTCCTCTGCTGAGATGATATTTACTCCAGGACCTCCTGCCCTTTTGGAGCCCTCTTCATTCTAGAGTAGGGACTCATGGTGTCATCCATCACAAAATCGTACAGCACTTTCACCCAAGAATTGTAATGGGGCAGGTTGTCATAGTATTCCGCTGCTATTTTCCTCACCTAGACAGGAAACAACGTGACGCAGTGAGCAATGAGTGACAGTGAGGCCATCAAAAGCGACAACTGAGTGCTCCACACAAAGGGGAGGACCCAGAACCAAACCTAGCGGGGCAACACCTCTGCTCACAGCCCTCCAGATCTTCTGAGTCTCATGAAAGGATATCTAAGACCACCCCCACAAGCACACACAAATAATCCACCAACTTAGGTCAAAGCTAGCAGCTGTCACCTCATCTGCACAGCTAGGGCAGGACAATATTAATTTTGCAAAAGTCCAGGTCCATGTAAGCAGATGACTCCTAACACTCCTGACGTCTATCTTAGGAGTCACAATAAAAGAAAATTGATCATCTGTACCTATTTTAAAGCAGTAAGATGAAAAACTAATAAACTCAATATTAGAAGTTTTCTATTCTAGGGAATTCATGAAGCATGTGTCTGTATCTCTGAATATCTGTGTACTTTGCAATGTTAACAAATGGAAAAATACACGTTTAAAAGTCATTTGAGAACTTCAAAAGTACAAAAATAAATAAATAAAACGAATCGTAGCCAGTGATGCTGCTCAGAGGTAAAGCGCCTGGGCTCAATTCTGTAGGATGCTGCTCATGGTGGTTTGCAACTGTAATCCCAGTGCTCAGGAAGCTGAGACACTAGGATTAACTGAGAGCAAGTGTGTGAGAAGAGCCTGAGCAAAATAGCAAGACAGCACTGCAAATAGGAAAATGAAACAAAACCTTCAATATAAACCATGAAATGAAGATATTAAAAACCTTGCTGATAAAAATGTTCTAAGATTGAATATAGTGATGGTTACACAACTCTCTGAATATACTAAAAGCACCAAAGTGAACACTGCAGGTGAGTTACATTTAATTGAGCTATACAAACCACTGCTACATACTTATTAATGATGCTGTAGAATATAACTACTGTAAATTATGCAATAAACACTAGTAGTTAATAGTATATGTGCTGCCGAAGCAAGCACAAGTAGTTATTAAGAAAACAAGATTCTTTTCAATATATAGAGAGCAGGAAAATTAAGACATGGCTCTCTGGGGTTGTGTGTCCATATATCTGGGGAAGAAGCAGGCACCATGGGCAGAGGAGTGAGCAGTCACCACTCATGCGTGGGGCCTGAGATCACACAGCATGTAAACTGAGTCACATTTCCAGAACCAGGACTAAGAAAGCTCTTGAGGAAAATCTCTTCAGTTGAAAGGGTGCCTGGCCTTTTCTTTAAACCATCTCCTGTCTAAAAATGACCCACTTCCTGGCCCCAGAGGCTGCACTGTGGGGCTGCACAGGGCACATGTGCCCCTGGCTGGGGCAGCCTGACACTGCACACTGCTCCCAGTCACCCTCGGACTGTGCTGAGCTCTTCTCCCAGGCTGCATTCTGAAAAGGAAAGCCCACTGATGCGGGGAAAGAGGAGTGGGACGAGCACTCATGCCCTGGACACGTTTCACCAATGACTGCCTTGTGGTCCACATTTCTTCCGTGTGTGCTGCGTGTGATAAACCTACACACTGTTCTCTTCGCAGATGGAACCTTTGGAAAGTAAGCTGCAGATGTTGTGACAACCACTCCAATATTTCATCCCCAAATATTTCATCATGTGTTGCCAAAGGACATTCTCCTTCAAAGCCACTGTGACCAGAATCTCACTGCTGAACTGTGACACTGACAGAATACTACCTAAGTTTCCCAAGCACTCTTATATTTTGTAGCTTTTTCTTTGCTAAATTGGGGATCCAAAGCAATAACCAAATGTTGCATTAAGTTGTCATGTTGTGTCACTGTTTAAAAATGGGGGCATTGGAAATGGCAGAAAATCACTAGTTGGGGTTCCTTTAAACGATACCTTAAAAAAAAAAAGAAAACCTACTATTCTGTTTTTTGTAGATTATTAGCCTTTTTACGACTAACATGATTTTGATATCTGAATTAAAAACTACCATACGAATTTTAACAAAGCTTATTTTAATAATGGCAAAGGTTCCATCACTGAAGAACTGGAATGTACTTCATAGAGGGATTTAGTTTTATATTTGAGTTACTTTACCAGGTATCAGATTTTACACATGTTCCAACACAATCCTAAACCAACCCTAAAGCTCACTTTGTTTTAAAATTAGGATGCTACACATGACACTTATGAAGAAATCAATACTGTATGACCATAGGAAACTAAAATATGCATCAAATCCTTACTCACCAGTGGAAGGCTCTTTCCAGGAACATTGGGGAAGTCGTGATGTTCATTGTGATAACCCACATTGAAGGTCAGTAAATTCAGAGGCCCGTAATATGAGTAAGTTTCATGTCCCTTTAAGAACATGTAATGTTCGGCTATAAAATGTCCAGAAATCGGGTGTAAGCCCAGACCAAGAAAGGATGCTCCCAACATGTAGATTAAAGACTTAATTCCTAACACATAGTAAACTAGAAAGTTAAACGCAATCTGGAGCACAGCATTGATAATTTCAAGATAAGAAATTGGTTTGGGATTGATGAACAGAGGTCGAAAAGCATAAAATACAGGCTGAAAAATAACCCACATAAACTTTCTGAAAGTGGTACAGAAGAACCAGCCCTCAAAATCAGTAGGAATATCCACATCAATGCCATCAGCTCCAAGGTATCTATGATGATCCATGTGATATCTCTTAAAGGAAATTGAATATGGAACCCCAATGGGAAGATTAGCAACCATTCCAAACCAGCGATTCCACAGTGTCTTGTGGTGGCCAAAGGCGAAGTTGTGAGAAATCTCATGAATAGCCAGAGTCATGGAGTGGTTGATGCAGCTGCCAAACATATAGGCCCAAAATATAACCCATTTCCAGTCCAAGTCTTTCACTAAGTAAAAGGCAGCCAGCTGGATGAGAACCATCATCATGATAATCCATATCAAGCTGTGATCAGGTTTCATCAAGGATTTTATCTCTGGATACTTTGCTGTAAGAAAAACAAAATCACACATAGAGAATAGCACATAATAGTTCAGCAAGTATAATTAAATTAACACATTAATTAGGAATAATTAATTTTCTTCTCCTAATCATAACATTCTATTAAAGACTTTATCAAATATTTATCCACTATAGTGAACAAATTCTGTTAGTAAAGTTATGCTATAATGGTAACAATTTAAGAATTTATGCCAGAATAGCCACAGCATCTAGAGTGACTTGGGGCTGGGGGGTAACGAGGAATCAAACTCAGGGACTTGTGCTTGCCATGCAGACACTGTAAAGTATATTATATGTTATTATTTAGAACTCTGGCATCTTGAACTCATATAAAACATGACTGAATCAACACACACATCTGATAAAGGAGGTTTTCTTTAGGTGGTCCAAAATCATGAAATGTATTTTCATGGTTCTTTCCAGCCAATTTACTCCAAATAATTCTGTACTGGATTTCGACAAGACTTTACTCATATATAAAAATCAACAGTACAAGAGTGCCAATCCAAGCAAAAGGGGAGTGCTGGATCAAGAAACAGTGCTGAACAAGTAGTTACTAACATGCAAAAAAATTGATGCCTTCGTTATACCACATATACAGTCAACTGAAATGAATCACTGTTCTAACTATAAAACGCAAAAGAAAAGACTAGGCATAGTGGTTTAAGACTGTAATCCCAGCACTAGGGAAATCTGAGGCAGGAAGACTGGAGTTGGAGGCCAGCCTGAACTACAAAAAGACCCCATCTAAAAGGGGAGGTGGAGCTCAAAAGAAAACATGAAAATACATCTTTGTGATTTTTTTCCATACTATACCAAAAGCACAAATGATGAAAGAAACAACATATAAATTGTACTGCATCAAAACCTTTTCTGTTGCAAATACTATCAAAAAAGTGAAAAGAAACCACAGAATAAGAAATTATATCTGCATGTCATCTATCTCATGAGGGAACTCTTAACAATAATATATAAAGCACTCTTAAAACTCTTACAACTAATAATCCCGTTAAATAAATCCAGGCAAAGGGTATGTATAGACATTTCACCAAAAAAAGACATGTAAGTACCCAGTAAACACATCAAAGATACTTAAATCTTCACTAATTTATATAAAATAGCATAGGTACAACTTCATACTCACTATAATGGATGTAATAATAAAAACAGGCACCAAAATACCAATGACCCAGTAATTCTACTCTTACTATCCACAAGAAATGAAAACATACATCCATGTAGTATCTTACAAATAAATACTTATAGTAGCTATTCAAAATAGATAAAAAAGCGGAAACAGCTCATATATCAACTAAGTAAACAAAGGAATGATGCACGGACACGGGCTATAATGTGAACCGTAAGCATTAAGTGAAAGAGGCCATCATAAAAGACCCAAGTATTATTTCATTTATATGAAACATACTTAACAGCCAAATTTATAGAGACAGAAAGTAGATCAGTGGTTGCCTAGGAATGGGGATAGGGATCAGGGGATATGGAGACTGCTAAAGGGTTCAAGGATTCTTTCTGGGATAATGAAATATTCTAAAATTAGGTGGCAGTAACAGTTTCATCATTATGAACATATTAAAAAAATACCACTATACCCTTTAAATGGGTGAATTTTATAATGTGTGATTCATATTCCCATAAGGCTGTTTAAAAAATAGCTTCTTTGTAAAAGTGTATCAGTAAAGGAGGAAATCCCTGTTATTTACTCTTATTTGAATCCTGTCCCTAGCCCTCTTAGATGCCTCTTTCTTTCCCTTGATGGCTCTGGGATTTGAATCCAAGTCTTCTAACAAGTTAGGCAAGTGCTCTACCAGGAGCTACCTCCCCAGCCCAACATCTTTTAAATGGAATTTTGGAGGGCCAGGGATGTAGCTCAGTGGAGCAGCACCTGCCTGGCAAGTGTGAGGTCCTGAATGGAATTTTGGGGAAATGGGGAGCAGATGTGCCCCCATTGTCTGGCTCCTTTTAAAGAAGACTTTTAACATGAACTTATTTGAACATAAACTTATTTTTTTTCCTGCAGTGTTGAAAATTAAACCCAGGGCCTTCCGTATGCTACCACTAAGCACCCACCTCCCTAGAACCCAAATATAAATTACTATATAGACAGCTCATTGTTAAATAGATTTGTCCTTCTCAAAAAACAAAACAAAACAAAAAAAGGCAGAAAATACAATGTTATTTAAACATAATTTAAACTAATCTCTAGATCTTATTTTTGCTAGGATTACTCCATTTTCCATTCCTGAAGTGAAACACTGAACAGGATTGTGTTTATCCCTTGAAAATGTTGCATTTTCATTTAGAAATATGTAGTTCTCTTAACTTTCCAGCTGATATGGTTCAGTGATAAGTTTGTGAGTAAAAGACTTGCAGTAAGCATCAATTAAGCAACTTTTCTGCTTACTTGATTTTTATATTAAAGTGAGAGCTAAACTTCAGAGTTTGGGAGTTCATTTCACAAAGTCGACACCAGATTACTCTAAAGCAACATATAAATAAGGTACAGATAAAATTCTTATATCAAGTATGTGCAAGTGAATTTGCAGAACATGTTTTCACCGAGAGGGAGAGAGGAGAGGAAGAGGAAGGGAGGACTCCCAGATACTCTAAAGGCTAAGAGAGGAAGAGTGCACATTTCAGGCTAGCAATTTAGCGAGACCCTGTCTCAAAATGAAAAGGTCTGGGACTGTAACTCAGGGGCAGAATATTCCTGTGTTCAATCCCAAGTATAAATAATCTAGGGCCAGATATTTAGCTCAGTGGTTCCACTTTCCACCACCTTCCACGAAAGCCAAAGGTCTCGAGTTCGATCCCCGGTACCAAAAATAAATTAATAATCTATTTCAGGGGCCAGGGTGTGCAGCCCAGTGGCAGTTCTTAACTTGCTAGAGAGGCCTGAGTTCGATCCGCAGGAAAACAGCCCATTTCAACGTGTTTTTATTAACTCTTATTCGTGAAAACACGAAATTTCTAGACTTCAGATATTTCTGCAAAAAACCGGGGCTTCCGATTTCTTTCACTGGGCAAATGGATGTTGAGAAGAAAAAAACAGGGAAATGGTGTGTGAGCCGGAATTCCTGCTACTGGATGCTCCAACCATGGGCTTCCTTGACTTTTAAAGAAACTGCATATTGGAAGTTAAAAGTATATTTTGGGAGGCTGAATCAGGAGGCAGGAGGTCCCAAAGCTCAACCCCAGCCTGGGCAACTTGGCTAGACCCTGTCTCCAAAAAAAAAGTTAAAACGGCTGGGTTGTGACTCAGCGCCAAGACTCGGGGTTCAGTTCCCAGTACCACAAAGATCCCCAAAAGCAGGCTCACAGCAACCCGCCTTCCGTCCTCCCCGCAGCCTTTACACCGACCCGAGCCGAGCCCACCCGCGGGCCACCCGTCCTCCCGCAT